TCCAGTCAGCAGCAGCCAGCAGCGAGCCAGCTGTTATACACATGTATACATGTTACACGCTCGCGGAGGTATGCACTCTCTTTGAGTGCCCTCTGTCTAGTTTAAATATGTAATAATAGAGTGAGCAGGCGGTGAGGAGGGGTGGTGTACAGTTCCACCTGTGAATTGCTACATGTGCAATAATGGACAGACCATGCTGAAAGCTGTCGACTGAAACGAAGCAGACCACTCTATTCTTCGAAAGATGTATAGACTATAGAACAAAATCGCTAACGATTGAAACTAATTTGACAAAATTAAGTGCACCAGATAGGATTACACGGTTTACTAGAAAAAAGCCTTGAAAAAATTTTTTTTACATTAATTTTAATATTAATTACATTTAATATTTAGCCTAGAGGAACAGAACTTGGTTTACCTCCCTGCAGCATAGCACACTGGTCTGCACTGCACAGTTGCCATGTCACTCGGCCCGTCTCAAACGTCTTGCTCGTTGCCTTTACCGACACATAGTCGATCGTGAGGCCCGTACTGAAACATTAATTCTCGATTAGGACCCTAGTGCTTCCAGCGAAATTGAACTGCCTCACTTACACTGTAGTTTCCATGAAAACTATTGAGAAATCACTCGAATCCAGTACGAACTTTTCATTCCTTACACAAACGATTGTCATAACACATTTACTTTTACCTCGCTATTAACTTTCAATTAGACCATTAAATCGCCTCACATGCACTTTAGATTCCATGAAAACTATTAAGAAACTACTCACTAACCCTGCCTGGAACGCTCATTCATAAAACAAACAAATATCATAACACATTTACTTGCTATCAACTTTTAAATTAGACCATTAAATCGCCTCACATACACTTTAGTTTCAATGAAAACTATTAAGAAACTACTTACTAGCCCTGTGTGGGACAATCATGCATACCACAAACAATCATCAGAACACATTTACTTGCGATTAACTTTTAAATTAGACCATTAAATCACTGTACGGCCCACAACTACCACCACATCTCTCGGCGGCGTCAGCACGCTCGCAATGACGTCCCACCAGATGGCAGCACTTACCCCGCGCAGTCCACTTTCCAGGACACGGTGGCTTCATCGGCGCCCTCTACGCGTGTGAGGTACGCCATCTTCCAGTCTCGCTCGGTCTTGCGTCGCGCGCCGCTCGCCTCGTACACGCACGCCTCCCAGCCGCGCGTCGTCGTCGTCGCCTCCCCCGCCGCGCCGCTGCGACGGTACTCGTCCGCGACGACGTCGTAGCGCACCCGCAGTTCGGTGGCGCGCTCTGGGGTGAACACGTGGCCCCCGCTGTGCCGGCCCGCCTCCCCACGCGCCGCGCGCCACGCCGCCGCGCCGGAGAGTCGACCTCCGAGTTCCGCGTCATCGGCGGCACGGCGCGGCGAGAGAAACTCGACGAGTTCGCTGACCTTGCATCGCTCCAGGTGGCGCCGGCGGTCGTCGCTGACGCCCGCCTGCAGCTCCCGCGTGAGGGCGCTGGCGGCAGCAAGGAGGCGGTCCTCGGGGACGTCGCGGCGGCGAGTAAGCAGCGCAGCGTGGTCGGCGCTGTACCTGTAACGCGAGACGCGAGAGAGAGCGGCGGGTGAGAGCGAGGCAGTGTTCACTTGTTCGCGAGACCCGTTTTTCCGAGATGTTTCGGTAGAGCGCCGCTACGATGCTATCGATAGTTTTGCTTAGATTAGGGATTATATATGATTAGATTAGATTAGGCTCGTTTAGCAAAGAATGTTCCTGATCTGGATCACGTGAACTTGATCAGGCTGAATCTACAAACGATCCTCAAACGTGTGACCTTTTCGTTGCGATTTACGATAGGATGCTACATAGCTACCAGCGAGGTTGGCTGAATCACGAGTGGCCATATTGGATGATCTTCATATCTGACACGCAAATCGGATTTCCAATTTGTAATAAATTTGTAATTTGTAAAGTCAATCTTTGCTCAGTGGTTCGCCCCCGAAACAAATGCACATTTAATCATTGGCTGACACCACCTTTACTCTACGATGATATCATTTTACTCTTCCTATATGTTCAGATGTACAGCAGCGATGGCTGAATGGTTGAGTGCTCGCTTCGCATGTGGAAGGTCGGGGGGTTCGAATTCTGACAGGGTAATACCAGACTTGAAAAATGGTACACACTGCTTCTCCGTTTAGCACTCAGCAAATAGAGTGTGGAGAGCTAACTCGGAGTGCTACCAGTGGACTAACCCCCCGCTGTAGTATTTCCTGCAGGGTGCGAAATTAACGCGAGTCTGGAGTCAAATACTCCCTGATTTACTGTCGGACTCCCTGATTTGACATATGCAGGAGTCCGTGTGACACCCTGAAAATTCTGCTATAGTAACTAGTTCGTTCCAGAGCACGGCCTCGCGGAATTGTCATATTTTTTCAGCAAATGTCCAAAGAAAATTTGGCAGACGTGCAACCGCATGAATCTTCAAAATAAGCACATGCGTTATTGTTAATATCTTTAGTTTTGAACTTCAGACTGCGGACTCCCTAATTTTGCTGCGGACTCCGTCTTTTTGAGGGCAGGGAGTCCGTTGGACTCCCTTGTTCAAACGTTAATTTCTCACCCTGTTACTGTGAAAGCAGCTGCGTGGCCTCGGGTAGAGGAAACGGAGATAGGCACTGCCCTATGCGCCACATAGGCACGGGAAGGGATTTAACTAACTATATGTTCAAATGCTTCCATAATCAGCCATTCTCGTCTAATCATAACACAAATGTTACGTTAACACAAAATATGACTGCGCGTACGAAAACGAGAGCACAACACAGCCACCACTCACCCTAAACTAAGCAACCGATGAACTAAACAACTTGGAAGAGTCTAACTTATCGAGATAACTCCAACGATAAATCGCTGTGCGATATCGTCGCATATCGTAATTACCGCCACGTGACGTCTTGAACTTCGTCCTTGGAATAGGCGATGACATATGTGAGCTGTTTACGCCAGCCCACCTCGTACATCAGAGGTGTGTCCAGCTTGTTCTCACATGGGTCGCAATGCAGCCATCGGCCCTGACTGCATGAAGTAACACAGCGTACTTGGGTGCGTAAGTGTGCGTAAGTGTAACTTAGCATAAGTGTACGTATGTGTGCGTAAGTGTACATATCACGGTATGTGTTTGTAAGTGTAACATAGCGTAAGTGTGCGTAAGTGTATGTACATGTGCGTAAGTGTACATAAGTGTACGTACGTGTTTGTAAGTGTAACATAGCGTAAGTGTACGTAAGTGTATGTACGTGTGCGTAAGTGTACATAAGTGTACGTACGTGTGTGTAAGTGTAACATAGTGTAAGTTTAAGAATATAAGCGATTTTGCCTCCACACGTTTACCAGGGTTCTCCCCCAGAGCTTTAACACATGCTGGGTCCAACATGCCTTCAAAGCTGAAGTTAATTTGTGTAAAGCCATAAATCCTTTGACGTGCCTTAGGCCATCCTTAAAAAATTATATGTTTGCTGTCCTCCAACCGACCCACGAAAATAGCCGCGACCCAAAAGTTTTTGTTTACATTTTGGGTTCCATTTTTTTTTTTTACATTCCTTATAGTTAAGACTGAAACACAAAGCATGTGTGGCAAACATGAGAACAGACTTAAAATAACTATTATGCCTCACAAAAAAGAAAGACCTAGGGCCTACCTACCTACCCACTAAAAAATCATGGGTCGGGGGACAGTAAACATAGAATTTTTTAAGGATGGCCTAAAAGTTGCTTACTGCACACGCCCCAATTTCCAACTGCATTTACTTTTGATAATCCCAACATGGTCCTACTGCATTTTCACAGCTTGATCTATACATCTGCAATCTATACGTCTCCAAACTGATTGAATTTACCTTTCCCTATCGAGTATTGGAGCTGCTCATGACTTATGTAAAATATACTGAAATTAACTCCAACTGGTACAATCCCCTCCCGGGTCCTCCCTCATCCATCCATAAGGACATGCCATCCGCAATTCCTTGGGAAGAACCCTGCTTACCATCGACTGTACCAGGAATCGTCTTTCTTAAACAAAGTTTCACAAAAGGTGCATACCTGTCAGAATACACTTCTGTCCAAACGTGGTCCGTCGCATCCACGACGTAACGAGCATCAAAGTCTAGTGCCCTACAGCAGAGAGTGAAGCAGTTCGCCCATTCTCCACATCGGCCCGTCCTCGTCTCTAGCAGCTTCCCCGGATGATTGTATCTGTACGACGAAGCCATAATAAAAATATTGTTTGTTTGCCCTCACCAGACCGACCCGCCAAAAAGGAGCCGACTCAAAACATGTGATTGATCTTTCCCATTCTTTTATTTTATACAAATTGTATCACTAGCTACGAATACGAACTAGTATACGAGCTAGTATACGAGCTAGAGACAACGAGAGTACGAGCTAGAGGGTACGAGCTAGTATACGAATTGCTATAAATCGGTAGGCAATACATTATAATTATGTACCAAGCAAAACAAACATTCAACATGAAAGGTAACTCCACACAAGCACACCCGAGCATGTAGACACCATGCTGAATTTGTAAAAAGACCCCCCTCAAAAAAAAGAAGCCTACATACCTACCCAAACTTTTCAGCCTGGGTCGGGTGAGGGCAAACAAAGATTTTTTAATTGTGGCCCGAGAAGAAATCATTTATACATTACAGACATTACTTTACATTTTAGTCATTCTAAAGACGTTTCAGGATGAGGAAGCTCATATAATTTCCATTTTAAATGGAATTAAATGAAAGTAAACAGAATTTAAATGGAATTTTAAATGGAATTCCCATTTTAAATGGAAATTCTATGAGCTCGCTTGGCCTGTAATGTCGAACTACAGCGACGTCTATACTCAACGTGAAAAAATAACCTGCATTCTTGCATCCACGCGAAGAAATACGACAGAGAAATGCACATGTACATTAGATATGACTGAAATAGGATTTTTTGCTTTTTCAATTATAAGGAAATTTGGATTGATTTTCAACCCGAGATATCTGAATGAGTCTTACTGAGATTACCTAGGAAAGCGTTCATGCTGCGAGCAAGTTGTGCATTGGTATGCTTCAACTCTCTGAGCACCCCATAGCAAGTCCTCCAGTGTGGGCTGCCCACTCCCAACACTGCGTGTAGTGCTTCCACACCTACAGGTTTACAGGGGTAAACTATAAAGAAGCCCACAATCACCACAACCACACAATTAACTTTTTGCAAGAAAAATTACAAGAACACTGCTATTTCTATCTATTGTAATAGAGCTGTAGTAGATGGAATCCTCTACAGTAATTATATATTCCCCCTAAACTGGATAATTTGCCATTGTCATCAAAAATAGTCTAGTAACCCACACCTTTTACATGTATTCTTCAGTAGAGCAATGCGTTTGACTTTTTTTTTAAATTAATTTTTACATTTTGATTTTACTACACGTTGTTACATATTGATCCTACCGACTGCAATCAGGAGAGTCCATCCAGGAAAAGAAATCTTCCTTGAACCATTCAAGAAGCTCCAATAGTAAAAAGTCTCTCACATCCATTGTTGACTTTTGCAGTTTTGCACTTACTGTCGCTTCTGCCTAGAGAAAATGCAGACGAAATTTCTCTGAAATCATGTATATTATATTTGTGCAATTTCAGGACTTTTTTTCACGCATAATATTTACAGGACCTGTGTATTGATCGTGCCTCCTATACGTTAAATAACTGTTTTAACTTCTGTAACGATGAATTGTTGGTTTGTAGTCTAGCTACTGGGCTCAGTTCTTGCAAGTACGCACCTGTTTTGTCAGTCTCTCTATCGGAATGACAGCCCTTGCCTTCTCTTGCAGTGCCTTGTCCTCATATAACTGCACGTGTTTTACGGTGGATTTTAGTCGTGCAAGGAAGTCTTCTTCTCTTTGCTGTACAAACCACATTCAAAAATACATTCTGAATGAAGAAACCCATAAAAGCAAATGCACATCAGATCTGTAGCTGAAATTTACTGAGAAATTTGTTATAGAATTTTTAACATAATCCTCTCCAGTAAATTTCTGTAAGATGCTTATCGAACTGGGGCCGGTTTCATGAAGCGTACTTAAGTATTGAATCGTGATTAAATCACTAATCATGATTAACTTCTCGTACTTAAATTAAAGTGACTGTTTCACGAAGCGTAATTAACTTTAATCATGATAAGATTAAGTTAATCACAATATTTAATTCTACTCAGGAGCATGATTAAATCCACTAACCATAATTAGTTGCTAGTTCTAGAACTTAGAAGTAGGTAGTACTAGTATATTAAGTACGCTGCAGATTTTACAATTGGAAATTTTACTTCAATTTTTTCCCAAGGAAATTTAAATTATCTAAGATTTGCTGTACTACTTCAATCATTATAGTTACAAATTAATTCCTTTTCATGTAACGAACTTGAAGATATTTTTGGCGCATTGGTCCGCCATATTGAATACCGTGTAATTTGTTTTAGACTGGTACTCGCTCCCACCTCGATTACTCGATTCCCATCGAGTAACTAAGCCGAGAGGGGAGCGAGTACCAGTCTATTCATGTTGAAGTCGGCTAATTATGTGATTAGTTAAATATGTACTTAAATCGCTTCGTGAAACAGATTTTTGAGTATGATTAACTAATCATAATTACGGGAAGTTAAGTATGATTAGTGATTTAATCATACTTAAGTTAAGTACGCTTCGTGAAACCGGCCCCTGGTGTATAACTTGTGATGTTGTACATTTTAGATATCCTTCAACAGAAGTATCACTGAATGCGCTCTTATGGTACTAGCAGTATTTTAAACAACTTTAAAAAAAAATTCTCATAAAAAGGTATACAACAGTATTATATTCGGTTAGTGCCTCAAAAAGGCCAAATTAGAAAACAATGGTGGAAATGTAACACAAAATTTCACAAAGACAACAGTCAACACCTACTGCAATATCATTTGATGTCACATCCGGTACCGTGGACTGTTGTGAAGCACACGCAGTTGATGCTGCCACAGAGGCAGGATTGCTAGTAGATATGGTTGTGTACTGATCAACAACCTTTAACCGCTCTTGTATAAGTTCTCTTTGAATTTTTCGCAGATCATCAAGAGGTGCAACCAGTGGTAGTTTCAAAAACTCACCTGCCTTGAAAAGTAAATTGCGCAGTTAAAAAAAATTATCACCTATGTTAGACGCAATTTACTGAGTTGTATGATCCATCAGGACTAATAGTAATAATATAAGCAGTAAACACCGGCGCAAATCCACTTTAGGCACCTTAGGTATCACGAAGTGATGCACAGATTTCTGTGTATCATCAACTGATGCACAGACTTTCCGTATATCAAGGAATGATGCAAAAAACCTAACCCTAACCCTAACTCTAAGTCATAAAGTATACGCTGTGGCTATATGCCCGGCAGCCGGGCACGGTCTTCGTTTTCCTAAATGCCCGGCAGTTCTTAACCCTAACTCTAACCCTAACCCTAAACCTAACAAAAACCCTAACTCTAGCCCTAAACCTAACCCTAACCCTAACTCTAACCCTAACCCTTGTTTACTTGAGATAACGCTAAAAATTAAAAACTGCCGGGCATTTAGGAAATCGAAGACCGTGCCCGGCAGCCGTCAGATATACGCCGGCTGCCGGGCATATAGCCACTGTGTAAAGTATAACCTTGGCTTAGGTATCACGAAGTGTGTTAGGGTTAAGGTTAGAGTTAGGGTTAGGGTTGAGTTAGGGTTTTTGCATCATTCCTTGATATACGAAAAGTCTGTGCATCAGTTGATGATGCACAGAAATCTGTGCATCACTTCGTGATACCTAAGGTGCCTAAAGTGGATTTGCACCGTAAACACCTACCTCTTGAAATCCCATATCAAACAGAATTTCCATGGCACCATCAACCGTCAGCAGCTTGTTCTGTATAACTGGATTCCCTAAACGAATCGATCTAAATTTAACTTCATCTGGATGAAACAAAATGTTAGTAGCAAACTTCAGCAGAATTTTGGAAGCCGACAAGAATTCGTCTGGTGAATTAGATGAAAGTTGGGCAACAGATAGTGTTACTTTCTTCTGTTTCGTGGAGGCTGCCATGTTGCACTACACGGCAGCGCCACAATGCTTTCCGGCCTTCGTCATTGTTGATAGCCAATCAAATTATTTCAACAGTGCTGCCTTATTCATTACTTGCTACCAAGGTAACCACAACGTGTAACGGTGTGACCAAACAGTGGGAACAAAAAGTGGATTATGGTTACGATAATTTTATGCTGAGTCAGAAAAGACTCACATAAAATTGTCAACAGTATCAATCAACATGTCAACAGGTAAACTATACATTGTTTAGACTCTGCTGAATTTTTTTTCTGGTATCTATTTTTTCTTCCTGTTGTCTTAATCACTTTACTAGTACAGAATATGAGAATATGCTGAAGTTTTTTTTTATTTTTTTTATTTTTTTTTATGTTGTATAGCATTGTAATTGTACTGTATCCGTCAGATTTTATCATTTTAACTACAACTAGAAGCAATTAACACTATAGCCTTTATCAGATTTTTTCTCCGTGAAAAAAACTGTCGTCAGTAGGCCTACATGTATTTGTATCTAAATTTATGCAATAAAGATTTAATAATTTAATAATAACATTTATACTAGTAATAGGCCTACAAGTACAACGTCGAAACAAAACGTTTTAATATCCAGACTTCTCCAGTCATGGTTAACGGTTTTTAGCTCATTCCCGTAATGGGATACATTATAGGATAATATAAGCACTGGTGTCCTGTACATGTATGTATCATGCCGACATAGCAGTGCAATCACCGACGGTTCGATGACAGTCACGTTCATATTCCCATCAACTATAATGGACATGCAGCCATTTTCAATCCGAAACCAGAGCTAGGTCACGTGAGCAAGTTGCACGTGGTTCTGAACATTACTGATACCTACAGAACATTAATGCAGTTATCATATTCTGTAGGGTGAAGCAAAACTATTCTGGATCTTAGATGTTTAAAAAATAATGTCACGAATACGAATTAAAAATTATTTGTGTATATTGTTGATAGTGATTGGCAATGTAAGACTAATGTAGCAATGACAGCAACAGGACGTAATCGCCGTAGCAGCCTATCAACCAATTTGATTTTCTTTAGTCTTCATCAACGTCGATGCGCATACATTTGTCCATCTAAACAGCCGATCGATATAGTACTTACAGTATTTACTTGTATGAAGGAACGAAAACGAAGAATGTTAAGCACACAGAGAGGTTGAAACAGCTCGCACAACCGAAGTACGTTTTGTCACTTGGAAACATATATGGGCAAGATCGGTATCACAGGTCAGTCGGATTTATACATAATGCGTACTAGTTTTATTACAAGTAATGTCATTGAGATTTACATATTTATGGTCATTTACAACAAGTATTCATATTATCATATATATATATATATTGAACGATAAGGCCATTTTAACGCGCCAACTTTCGTGTATTATCATCGAGAACAGCAGTACGGTGATTACAAAATCGCGTTTAAATATTAAATAATTGCGAAATGTTTGTGTTTAAATATTAAATCATTATTTAATAATTGCGTTTAAATGCACCCCTCGTACTTGTCTACCTCTGCGCGCGTGACGGTGCGGTACTACCACATGACTTTCCCTCTTACTCTCGAACATTTCACCATGTCGTGTCACTATGCCACCAGGTGTCGCGTGCGGTGCTGTACTACCACGTGACTTCCCCTCTCGAACAAGGGTCCCTGTTCTATACAGGAACCCTGATCTTACCCTGTCTTGTCGCTCTGCCACCAGGTGTCGCGTGCGAGTTTGAGAGCCGTGGCGAGCGAGCGAGTGGCAAAGCTAAGCGACCCGAAGAAGGTTCCAGACGCTTACATGCCTAGCATCGACCAAGGCTGGGGCGTAGACGCTGCCGTGCTGAGGTAAACTAAAAATCATATTAATCGTTATCGTTAATCGTCAAAATTATCGTTTTATTTTTAATTATATTTTTTATTATTATTATTAACTCTAACTCATTATAAATAACGATATTATAAATGTTTTATTTTGCGAGATTTTGTTTTGCGAATTTTTGAAGGGGCCCCTCAGTGAGTGAGTGGTGCGGTTAATACTGCGAGAGTATACATTCACAAGAACACGCTTTATTTCTTTCATCTGGACCTAATCGCTCCCTAGATTATTGATTTTGTAGGCAATTAACTCTTTAAAATAAATCACATGGATCCAGTCTACTTGCTATCTAGCCAAACAGCCATTAAAGAGACACGATCTGACATTTGGTTACTTTCGAGCACATCTTTACATATTTTCTATTTTTGATAATTTTTCGCATTTTTCTCATATTTTTTTCATTCGCATAACACGATCATATCTGTCTCTGCCGGGTCGTCTGTTCAGATACACAGCATCGGAGCGGGTTAACCAGCTTGCACAGCCGATCGTGCGCGCCACGATGGACCTCGTGCAGTTCAACTCGGAAGCGTTCCTGGTCAGTAGGAGAGCGTTGAAGGCGAGCTGCACACCCAGGCTAGAAGAACTCTCAGAACCCACGCTGCGGGGCGCCAAGTGACGCAGCGCCATCTGATGGCGACCTCGCGAACTACGCACTTCTTCCGGGGGAGAAACGGGGCACCGGCATTCCGAGTGTTACTATATTGTATCCGAGAGGAAAGAGGTGCGTTTTTGAAATTCGCAGTGCGCGATAAAGATGTGGAATAGAAAAATAAGGATAGAAATATGGGTGGGGTGTTTTCACACTGATAAAATGCTGGTTGTTTTCAGACCAATATTATTTTAGAAAAAAAAGCACGCGTCGTAATCATGATCCGAGAAACACCAAGAACTATGATTATATTATATTCGGTTCTATATAGTTGTTCCTACATAAAAAAATTGTTTCATTAAAATGAAAACCTTGTTGATTTTGTGAGAAAACGTGTGGATTTTGTTCAGAAACGCTATATATAGGCCAAGGGAATGTTTATGAAAAAAAAAATTTTTTTTAAAACGGGTTCGGACTAGTTTTTGCTGGAAGTGCACCAACCGGAATACGTCGGCAGCCGACAAAATCTAACGATTGTGTTGTAGAAATCTGTGAGACACGTGTGGGGGTTGTACAGGTGTGTGTGTGTATTAAATTATTTATTTATTATTTATTTATACATTCATTCATTTATTTATTTCCATCTATACAATAAAACACGTACATGTAATAACGAGTGGCTGACGTCATCATACACGCATTTTCTTGGTGATTTCAGTCGGCGGTACGTGTTCAGCTGTGGTCGTGCCTCGCCCATCGTCACCGTACCACCGATGGCTCTGTCTGCCCCCAGCCGACCCTGCCTGGCCGTCCTCTCTCAACCCAAGAAGCTACACAACAAGTACCTGGAGAGCAGGTGCGTACAGGTGGCAGCACCGTCAAAATATAGCCAATCGGCGCTGGGTGCGGTGACGTCAGCGCCGCTCGGCGCGTGTGAGTGGGCAGACGTTTGAAGTTTTTCGATAAATTATTTTTTGATTCTCAGACGAAATGCGCACTGCATGCGATTTTAAGCTGTCATCGAAAATTAGAGTTCTTGCACTTCTGCGGCAGAGTGGGTGGCTGTTTACGTGCGCGTTCGTGTATGTAGCGGCCTGCGAATATACACAGTGGACGCTGGACCAGCGTACCGTTGCCATGCCAACGATTATATTTTATTTCACGTCTTTTACTCACATAAAAGTCATGCCAATTGAGACCTAATGATGTCATAAATACTTGTACTATTGCGGACAACGAGGTACACAGAACACGTGCACAACTCCTCCTGATCACATGTTGGCAGTTTTATGAACTTTTATCTAAATTGTTACTAGTCACGTGTCCTCACATACAGCCCATGGTAAGCGTAGTTGTGGTGGGCTAGGTTATAGCTGTTGTTCGAGTTATTGTGGGGTTAGATTTTGGTTATAGTTAGCGTTACTGTAGAGTTATGTCATTGTTATGGCCAGGGTTGTTATGGTTATGGTTACTACTGTTGTGGCGTTGTGGGTATAGATTGCTGATGTGGGTGTAATTATGATTGCATGTGTTTTCACATTGGTGATTAGGTTATGGGTAGTAATAGGCGTGCGGATATTAAGTAGGCCTAATGGTTTTTGCTCTTTTGCAATTGGATTAAGAAAAGGAAAAGTGTAGAACGAGCTACGACGAAAGGCTCATTTGAATTATAATTTATTATTGTAATTATATATATATATATAAATATATTATTAATATATTGATCATAATTTAATAAGTAGGAAGCAGTATTTGTAGTAATTATATAGTAGCAGTATTATAGTAATTAAGTATACTAGTAATCAGTAAGCTTAAAGGTAAAAAGGCATTAGCAATTACCAATTTTGATCTAGTTGATAAAAACATACAGAACCAATATTCCGACTTCAGATATTTCTAGGCGTTTGCACGCTTGGGAGTTCACTGTCATTCGTTAGTGACTAGTAATATGAGAGCATTTCATCTAAAAATGTACTCGCTAGATTATTCGCATTAATTGTGAATAATAATGTTCCACGGATAACAAACTGAGTAAAAACGAAACATTAAAATACCCTAAAATGCCCTTATATATTATTGTGTTGTTGGAGCTTGCGAACTCAAATGATTTTTTTAAATTATTGCATGGGAGAAAAATCATTTTTAATTGTTTGTCTTTTTTTGCGAAACCGCGAATTTCTTCATTTTTGTGGAATTCGCGATTAAGTAACAATAATGTCAAGAAATGTTCAATTATGAGAACGCATTTCGTTTTTACGCAAGGGAAATTTATCGAAATTCGAGACCATTTCTTTATGACAAATGTCAAAAATAGGATTTCAGTAAAAATCTTTTATCGATTGTGCTACACAATCATCCTATAATTTAGTGTGGCGATTTTTGAGCAGTAATTCCTAAATCATATTCAACTTATTTCTTGGATTCTGTATGCATCTGAGATTTTCAAATTTATTGGCTTTTAACTCGATCATGATCTTGTTATGTTATTTTGATTTTGTTATGGGAAATGTTTCAATGTCAAATTAGGTTAAAATGAAATTTTGTATTCACTCCTAATTAATAAAACAAACGTTTTATTTTCATTCTTTTTTTTATCTGAAAAGTTTTTAATGTGAAATGAAATTAAAGTAAAATTTTCAATTCACTCTCAAATAAAAAACAAATAAACGTTTTAT